CCAAGAGACAACAGATGATGATCACATTTCCAAGCTCGTGATTCGATTTCTTCCCATTTCCCCTTCGCCATAGAGAGGCGTGCAAGAACAAAATACTAAGAACCATTAATTAAAAAATAAATAACACCAATGACAAGCATTTATTTTGACATTCATTTCAAAAAGCTACAGTATCTATTTAAATTACAAAATTCTTACCACCCATGAAGGGTAAAGACCTGGCACACAAATTAGTACATAGAGAGAATCACATATGTGAAGCACACATCCCCCTGACTCGTTTGAGCACGGCTCATAAGAAATCAGCCTCCGTAAGAAGCAAAGCACCTATTTTCCCTGCACCAGGAGGAACATATTTTTGATAGATCAATTAAACAGCTTGTGCTATAGAAAGGCATTGAAGCAGATCAATCCGGCTTCAAATATCAATGCTACTGAGTGCAACTTAAAACGTATTACTACAACTCTAACATCTGGAAAATGAGCCACATTTTTCCAAATGAATGATCCGTTTCACTTCCACATGGAAAACTAGAGAAGAGCTGAAGATGAACACCACAAGTGCACAACGGTTCCTCTTTTAACCACACGCACAACAATGAGAAATGCACAGACCCTAGTGTGTTTTGTATTCTTAATACAGAAGCTCCTTTAATACATAAATCAGACTTCCGAGTAATGAACATTAAAACAAGTTTAAAATGTAGCTGCTAATTTATCACATGAAGAGTCAGGTAGCTTTTTTTATTCTTGTTTTCTTTTTTAATAAGAATTGAAAAAAAAATAAACCACACTGTAGGAGAGAGGTTCTGTGGTAAGACATGTGCATACGTCTGCAASAGAAACTGGGATGTGAGAGGAAATAATGTGCATAACTTCACACAGATGCATTACTAGGCATGTACACAAGTGTCTGCCCCTGGGTAAGACACACATCTGAATCACAACCACAGTCAACTCAATAGCTGTAGGACATCTTAAAAGTTGGATTATGGACACTGCTGCATTAAAGCTGTTTTGTAAAGCTGCACACAGCCTTTCACTGCAATATTTACAGCTTCCTATATATTTAAGAAACTTATATCCTATGAGCTAAAATGGAGTCTCATTCTCTGGAGTCTTCTTCTAGAAATCTTCCCAACCCGCCTGGATGTCGCCCYGTGCCCCGTGCTCTGGGTGTCCCTGCTGGAGCAGGGGGTTGGACTRGATGATCTCTAGAGGTCCCTTCCAACCTCAGCCATCCAACCTTCTGTGATTCTGTGGAAGTTCGCATGAGTGTCTGCCAAGGCCCTGTAACTACCGAGGGAGCCAGAGGGAACGAGAAAGCTGGCGAGCAGCTAACCAGCGCATGCAGCCTACGAGACCTGGAAAAGGGAACAAGGGAAAACATAAGACCAAGCACGATGTGCTCAGGCTCCACGCGCACCAATGCAGCACCAGGCGCAGCAACGCGGTGCCCCTGCTGCCTTTCTGCCCAGGGACRCAGAAAGATGAGACATGCGAGGGACGCGCTCAGTGCTCACCAGCCACAGGGACAAGTGCTGGACTGTCCACAGCTAGACACCAACTTACCCAGCCCCGCAGGCAGGAGCTTCTGAATAAGCCACCGCCTCCACAGTCAGGGGCAGTTACTGATCTTAAGCACAAACAGGCCACTCGTCAGCCTTTGTTCACCTGATCCATACATGGAGCCAAACACTTTGYGTGAATATTTATTTACCAGTTTATACATGACTTTTAATCATTTCATCTAGCTATTGTCTAATCACATTCGTAAAGCACTTTAATTTCATATTAAAGGAAGGATATGAAAGCCAGCAACCTCTGAAAGCTGGGGAGACAACCTCAAACTCCRCAGGAAAGAGAATATTCTGTCTCCCTCTGCTGGCTCTGCACTAAGTCAGGCAAGGAAGGAAAAAAAGAGGAAAAAAGCACACRCACAAACAGAAAAATGTTTATTGTCACAAGAAATTAATTTCTGTGCTAAAATATGTTTTTTTCATTAAAAATACGAGAGACTATTACTGAATGTTCTTGATATAATTTCAACCTATTTTATAATGGCCCAGATTTAAGTATTTCTGCTCGCCACAGGCTGACTGAGCCATAACTGTGTTGTTGAATGATTTACCTATAGATAATACACTTTTAATGAAAAGGACATGGGAGCAAATTTGCAATTCAAAGAAATTCTGGTTCACAATTTCATTACTCAAACTTAGTAATACAAGCAAGCTGTCCCTATACAAAAACAGGGCAAAAAGAATGARATGATTGCTGCATATTATTTGGACAATAGTGGCTAAAGCAATGGACAAAATCATTTTTGATACATACACCTTTGCTTATTTTCTACTGAATCCTGTGTGTGATACCAGCATAATCAATGTTAAGCTCTCTGCTTGCTAGGATGGATTTGAAATAGTTTCAAATGCTTGAAATAGTGCTCCAAGAAAACTAAATTCTTGCTCTCCCAAATAAATCAAAATTACAAGAGAAAGATGCATGTRCCTTGAACCTACATCTGGCACCAGGCCATTAGTGTGGTTTCTCTCCTCCTGATTTACTTCACACAAGTTTAAAACATGTAGTATAATAAGCACTTTTTTACATGAAGCTGGTCAGTCATTTACCTTTGAAATCCAAGCGCGTGCACTGCACTGCTCTTAGATACTCATGTATCTAGCAGAGGAATTGATCCAGCATCCAACAGAGCAGCAGCCACTCACCCTTCTGATCAAAACGGACATCCCTCTGCAGCGAGTTTTATTTTGCCCGGTGGTTGGCTTGCAAGCAATTGTAATGTCAGCTATTGGTGACAGGGACTGGCGACGCCAGGAAGAAGCCGGCAGGTGCTGACAGAGCCCAGCACCAGCTCACAGCCACCGGCTCTCTTCTCCTCCCCAGCTACCCTGCCTGTTCAGCAGCTGGAGCCCTGCAGGCGCCACGCTGTGTCCTGGGCCAGGTCTCCTCCGCAGGCTGAGCGGAGACCAAGGGCCAGCAGAGCTGGAAAGCTGGAGGGCCCCCGGGCAGCTTTCCGTGGGGTCTGCGGGGCTTTCGCAGGCAGCGAAGCTCAGTTACGCRTCAGTTATGTTTTAAAGTGAATTTCTTAATGTTCCATCACATTAACTGTTAGAGGGTTTTTGTTTGTTTGTAGTTTTAAGTGGAGACAACGGATGTTTCTACTGTCAGCACGATAGTTCTGATGAGATTTTAGGGCTTCGCTACATATTTGGCAGCTGCATTTCTTAAGGCAGAAGTCACCTTTTCCTAGCCATTCACTTCTGCCTCTCCTACCACTTTCTGCATTCTGCACAGAACTGAATCAGGAAACCTCTCCGAACAGAGAGAAGAAAAGAAAATAGAAAAAAAATATATTTTTCTTGTAATTGAACAACCTCTGCAGTTTGGCTCCCTTAGGAGTATATAATATAATAATATTTTTTTGTATGCATATTTAACCAAAACAAATTCAATATACAAACCTACACAAAAGCTTCAGAAAGCCTACACACATATGCATGGATATTAAGCAATAAACTGTATTACATTAAAATTCCCCCTGCCATCTCAGTTATTACTAGCATTTATAACATAATGCTTCTTTTCATTCTCCTAAGTATAAAACAAAGTATCTGATATCTGCAAAATCACAACTCGTTCATATTTAGGATGAAACGCCACATCCCTTGCCACCAAAATGTATGTTACCTTACAAAGGTGGTCAGCATGTTCAGACTTCAGAATTTACAGCCAAATCATCTAAACACTTGAGCAGACTCAAAATTCAAGTAGTGTCATTTAAAATGATACTACAGGGTATGCTTAAGAGGTCACAGCACCAAGAAGCCAATTATCAAGCTGATGTTTAGTAGGAAAAAGAGAGAAACATTTAGTAGTAAGTAACTTAAAAACGTTAAACGTTAAGTAACGTTAAGTATGTCAGACAAAAACGTTCATGCTCAGTTTTAAGTGGAATGAAAAAGTACTTGTAAATACTTGACAATTCAGCTTCACTGTAACAGACAAACCCTTAACTAAACTACATTAGCATATGCCACTACAGTAAGGGTTTTGTGAGTTTTTTTCTTTTTTTTTTTTAATAAAATTTTTACATGCACCTCAAAGCTACTACAGGCATTTTTGTGACGAGGCCATGCTTTATTTACTGTACCTGAACATTTCTGTACCTGTCACGCTGCATGTTAATGAAAAAAAAATAAGACAGGGAATGTTAGATTATTTTCATATATCCTTTCTAAAGGCATTTTTTTTTTTTTACAAATTCTTACAAACAACACGACATTCAGTTTCTCTGTAACAAAACTAACAAAAGCACTACAGTGTATCTTTAGATGACAACACTGCCAAGTTAAATGAAAAGGTCTCCCTGTGTTTGAATGAAAGACTAGACAGTTGAACAGCAACATTTCTCTTCTTTCCCACGTGTTCCTTTTGAAATCCCCCCACCAAAACCACTGTCTGAGGAAATGGGGCTTGTGTCAGCACCCTGCCTCACCTCGAGTCAACTCAGCAGAAAGGAGTTCGGGACTGTCAGTAATGCTCAGGAAAGACAACTCTATACACTGTCTATAGAACTTCCACTTAGAAGAATTTCCACTTCTGCCACCTTCCTTAATGTCAGACAAAAGTTAAACACAATATGCAAACCAATAAATAAATAAATTCAAGAATGCCTGTGTATAAAGGTGAAAAGGTTGGCAGCCTATCTGCAGTAAGAGTGGCTCACCAACACACATCACACCAACACAATCAGCACATGTAGTTAGCTCAAACTGCACTTCATCCWCTCCCAGGCACATACCACAGACATCCCGGAAAGCCAGCCACAGGCAAACAGTAGCATAATCTGACCTCTTGGCTTTAAAAATAATTTAGAGATCACRTATAATCAAATGTGACAGCTTAACTGAAATACAGCCCACATTAATGAAATAAACTACTTACACTAATGCACATGTACTGAGAAGGGCACTTACGTCGTTTCTGGGAAACWGCCTGCAAACAGGCAGTGACAATGTCACAGTTCTTCTGGACTTTCTGCACAAGTCTGTCTTTCTGCTTCAGGAGGCGAAGCAGCTTTGCTGACTGAACGGAAATTCTGTAATTCAGTTCTTGTTTGATAGTTTTCAGTTCATCCACACCTGCCAATAAGCACAGAAAGTTACTTCAGTCCAGGCCAAAACGTAAGTAAACAGCTCATTGCAACTGATGCAGAATGGGACTTGCCCCGCAGACGTTTATGTAAACTTTCCACAAATCTGTAGTTCTTGTAGTCCAAGAGTTTCCAGGTAAAACTATTTTCAGGATTTTAGCCAAAGCCTTCTAATTTTGTTTTAAACTTGACTTATAGCACAGTGTCTTAATATTAAGAATTACGTTGCTATAAATTGGAAACATTACGGCAGATAAAGGCATCATGTATCCAGTACCTGTGCTACTATAGATATAACTTACAGTCAGTGCTGTCTGGAAGCAGCCTGGTGAAAACCTGCGTGAGGAGCAAGCAAGTGCTAGGGACRCAGGAAACATTTAAGCTGTTTGGTAGATTAGAAACACAATTCCAGGATGAGCTCTAAGTGGGAAACCCTTTCCAAGAAGTGGGCAACGAAGTTTATCATTTACAGGATGGTGGAGAAACAGCAACGACCGCARGGAGAGCAGCCACTGTGTGCACAGTCCTGCATTTTGCACCTGACATCAGTTTCTGCACCACCTCTCGCTCCGTGCCCACCAATAATGGGTATCTAGCAAGGGGATTTCAGAACCACATCCATTGATTTTAAGAGCAGAAGGAACAGACTGCACTCCCATTGACTTGTATACTCATCACAAAAGGAGCAAGATGGGTTTTATTCATTTCAATCCATTCCAGTTAGTTGCTCCTGTAACAGCAACTGATTATCCTTGCAGCAAAACACCTTTGTTTTGAATCTACAAGAACAAAGTAGTCCAGAACAAGCACRTCTCTTGTCAAGCCGCAGGTTCCCACTGGACACAAAGAACATGGGCTACATCTTGTCACATCATTTCCTTCAGAGGCCAAACACGGAAGCAGAAAGCTATTTGTATAGGTCAGAAATAAAAACAGGCAAGTTTATTCATTTCCTGCTTTTTCCCCCCTCATTAACAGCAAGAATGAGTTAACACCAGGAGACAAAGGCTTTTGCACTATCCTCTTCATCAGGCCAGGCTGGGGTTATAAGTCATACTCTTTTATGAACATTCACTGCTGCATCTCCTTGCTATCCATTAAAATTATTTAATAGCTTCATTTTGTTTAGCCAATATTTGCCTTTTTTTTTTCCTCCCCTATTACAAACTTTTTTTCCCCTTTCCTGGCACACTTGGGTTAATGAGCAGATGAACTAAACCCACCATTTGCAAAGCTGAGATCTGGCGGAAATAAGAGGACCTGAACACTACCTACCTCTTAATGACCTGCTAGGTGCCGCATCCCTTCTAGCTCAGCGAAAGGGGATTTGGAACATCACGAACACCTACACGCGTGCCCGGCTGCCCCCCGCGCCGCCCCAGGCGCGCTGCGAGCGCTACCTTTGAGCCGCAGGTACTGGAGGTGACTCGGCCGCTGCTGGACGCGGCCGCGGGCGCTGCCCGGCGCGGCGGCGGCCGCCTCGGCGCTGTCGGCGCGGTACAGCTCGGTGAGCAGCCCGCTCACGAGCGACGAGGTGCGGCTGGCGCGGCGGCGGCGGCCACTGCTGCCGCCTTCCTCGTCCTCCTCCTCTTCCTCCTCCTCATCGTCCTCCTCCTCGGCCAGGCTGTCGGCGCTGCCCGGAGCGGCCTCCATCTTCCCGCCCGCCGCCGGGGTTCCGGCTCCGGCCCGTTCCACGGCGAGGGGAGGGGGCAGCGCCCGGCCCCCCCCGCGCGTCTCCGCGTGGTAGAGGCCGCGCGGCGGCGGGGCAGGGCGCGGCCGCCGCACCTGCGCGGGGGGGGCGGGGGAGGAGGGCGGCCACGCCCCGCCCGCGCCGCTGGCCGTTAACGGTCACGCGCGTGCCCGCGCCGCTGGCCGTTAACGGTCACGCGCGTGTTCACGCCGCTAGCCGTTAACGGCAGGTGCCCGCCTTTATATCTCGGCCTGTCTCGCTGACGGTTTAGGGCGTTGTGCTGCAGGCGAAGGTGAATAAAAAAGAAACGCATGAAGGAACGTAGGAAGAAGCATGAAGGAACTCTAATGGCGTGTTTGTGAGGTGCAATTACTCAATTCACAGCAAAACATTGTACAAGACAAAGTTATACCGCTGGGGGAGCCGCGTTGCTCCCACAGCGGACCGCGCGCTCGAGGCAGCAGACGCTGCCGCTGTAGCAGCCAGAGCGAAGCCAGAGCGGCTCACGCTGCGCCGGGGCTGCCCAGGCCGGAGCCGAGCGGGGCCGAATCGGGCCCGAACGGAGCCGAGCGGGGCGGCCGCGCGCGCCATGGCAACGGCGCTCGCGGGGGGCGGGGCCGCGACGGGGGGCGGGGCGACGGCGCAGGGGCGGGGCGGATGACGCGCTGCAGGGGGCGGGGCCCGGCGCGCGCGGGCCACGTGACCGCCGGTGTCGCGGGTCATATGCCGGGGGCGGGGCGGGCGGCGCCGCTTCCCCGCGCTGCGCTCCGCCGCTGCCGCGCGTCCCTCCCTCCTTCCCTTCCTGCCTCCGTGCCGCGCTCGCTCCGGGTGCCCGCGGCGGCGCCATGTACCCCGCGGCGGCCGTGGCGCGGCGCCTGGCGCTGCCCGCGCTGCCGCTGCTCCTGCTGCTGCTGTGCCCGGTGCCGGCGGCGCGGCAGGCGCGGAGGCCCAACGTGGTGCTCATCCTCACCGACGACCAGGACGTCTGCCTGGGCGGCATGGTAACCGCGCCCCGCTCCCGGCCCTGCTGCCCCCGCCCGGCACCGCCGGGGCCGTTAGTGGCCTCGCGCGGGGCCGGCCCTGGGGCAGGAGGAGGGAGGTTGGGGGGGTGGCGGCTGCTTGAGCGGGGCCCGTGTCCCGGCGCGGGAGCTGCGCCGCCTTTGGGGCGAAAAGCGCCGTTTCCGGGCCCGCCGGCTGCTCGTGCAGCCCCGGGAGCGGGGCCCGTGGGGCCGGKGCCCGCGGCGGCCGCAGCTCCACGCCCGAGCACCCCGGCAGACCCCCGTCCCCTCTCCGTCTCTTGCAGACCCCGCTCAAGAAGACGGCCGCCCTCATCGCGCACATGGGAGTCACCTTCGTGAACGCGGTGAGTTTTGTGGGCTGTGCCGCAAAGCCCTTCAGGCATCGTCATCCCGGGGCTGCCGGTGGCTTCACCGAGGGCTTTGCATTCTTTTTAACATCCATCTCGGGGCTCGATGTAAACTGACATCGTGGTGGTGCTCGATGTCTGAGAGAGACAGTTTTACTTCCTGAAAGCTGCTGGGGTGACTTATTCACTCAGCCAAGTAAAACCGAGTCATCTAAATAGCTTTAGAATGAGCTGGGAAGTGCTAGAAGTAGCTACTTAAAAGTTCTAGGTTTATGTATACACGTGTTGAAGATCTGCTTCRCTCCTCTGTTTCTAATGTATTAGCTGTCCTGGTCAAAATAATTGATCAACTGCTCAGCGGTGTTTTAATGGTCACTTGTTGCTGTGTTTGAAATGCATCCAGTCTGTAACGTGGCGGGGAGGTCAGACCATACGGTGCAGAGCCCTGAAGCCAGTTTCATATGCAGCTGAACTGGTGAAGATGTTTGAGCTGGGATTCTGTGTGCCAGAACCTTTGGAAGTCAGGAAGTTGCTGAACTCTGATCAGCCTATTATTTAATACTTCAAAACCTCTRTTTTTAAGGAAAACTTGCTTTACAGTACAAATCTCACCTGTTTTTATCCTGTCTTCCCAGTATGTTCCCAGTGCGCTTTGCTGTCCCAGTCGAGCTAGCATTTTAACAGGAAAATACCCACATAACCATCACGTTGTCAACAACACGCTCGAGGGGAACTGTAGCAGCAAATCGTGGCAGAAGATCCAAGAGCCCTATACGTTCCCCGCACTGCTCAAGACCGCATGTGGCTATCAAACGTTCTTTGCTGGGAAGTATTTGAATGAGGTATTTTGTGCTTTGTTTTTACTGCTCACTTCCCTTTATCACTTTTTTTTTTCAAATATCTATGGGGATTATATTTAGCATAAAATCCATATTCAGTTGCAAAGCCTCTCTGAGGCAGCATGGGAGAACAGAGGTTATAGACTTCCCTACAACTGTTAGCCATCACTTTATTGCTGAATCACTTGCTTGGTTGGTTTTCTGTTTGTGTTGTACTGTAAACTACAGCTTAGCTTAACTTTATGGTAGGTCTTTAAAATTCAGCTCTGGTCAAGCCCCTGCGAGTGGGCTGCCTCCTGACTAATGGGTTTTCGATTTGGAGCTGACTGAGTTAAAAAGTTCTCATTTTGTCCTCTGTGTTTTTGGTGGAAAATGCTGGTGCTGGATATGAACATTCCTGGTCCAGCRTGGATCTGTCTGTGCTGGTGTCCCGAGGCAGCTCAGGGAGGCAAAGCTGCTCGGGCTGCTTCCGAGCATCCCTCCCGTAAGCCGGTGCTGGGAGCAAGGGGCTCCGCATCCCTGGAGCGGGTGGAGACGCTCTTGGTTTATGCAGGAGGTTCTTGTGCTCTGACAATTCACAACATCCTAAGGCTGCTTTGCCACGTATGTGCCTCTCATCATCCTTAATTACATAGTGATACACCATATGCTCTATAGAATTTCTGCATACTTTTAGGTGCAAACAGGAAACAGTGCTTCTTGGTGGATGGTAGGCTTCCAGTCACCTTCCTTCTAGCTATTTAATTCTGCTCTCTTTAATGTGCTRTACATCCGTCTCATATGTACCTGGGGGTTTCTGCTCTGAAACAAATTTAACTGTGTTTCTGCCTAGTGTTAAGCATATGAATGTGAAATGCAACTCCTACTTTCTAGATATCATATTTAAAACTGCAAATAATTCTCTTTTTTTTCCCCCTTTTTCTTTCAGTATGGCGCAGAGGATGCAGGGGGAGTAGGTCATGTACCTCCTGGATGGAGTTTCTGGTATGCTTTGGTACGTGGCAGTTGTCTTGGAAATATTTCATTTAGACTGCTTAATAATCCTAACTTTACTGATCATAAAATAGCAGACAAAGATATCAACAGTTTATAATATTTCTTTCTTTCCTTGCCTCTATTGCATATAAACTTAATGAATGCTCCTATTAAAATATCTGGGTCAAAAAAATCCTGGAAAAAAAGTATAACATAATACTAAAACACATGATGCTGCTGAAGACTAGTTTTGAGAATTCTGCAGCTTGGTTTTGACAAATATTTACATTTGGCACATGCTTGCTAAAGTTCACATAGACCATTCCAGGTAATCAATGTGGGTATCACTCCTTGAAGCGTCCGCATGGCTCTTCTCTCTCCCTCTCACAGGAGAAAAACTCCAAGTACTACAACTACACCCTGTCTGTGAATGGCAAAGCACGAAGGCACGGGGAGAACTACAGTGTAGATTATCTCACGGATGTCCTGGTAAGGAGCTTGGGGCACTGTGGTGCAGAGCAGCTCCTGGCTGCAGGGCAGCTCCTGGCTGCAGGGCACCTCGCGCTGGAGGGGTAGCGCTGTGTGCACACGCTGTGCACCGAGAGGTTAACGGTGGCTTTGGTGGCACAACTGCACAGTGTTGCTGTGCCTGCTCTCTGAGCGTTCAAGAGCAGTGGTTTTTGAGGCAGCTCATCTCACATAAATTATTTTGAGACAAGGATGTTTCACTGAAATACGTGCAGGTTCTCTCACAGTCACGAACGGGGCTGAGCTTTCAGTGGGACGCCAGGTACTTAAAAGCAACTCTACCCCACGTTTTTTGTTAGCTGTTAGTGCTGTCTTGCATGCAGTCAGTTTGCAGCCTTGCACTGGAGCTCTCACGAGTTTTGCTGCCAAGGGGCTCTCTAGAGGCAGCTGCTCACTGGGAGCTGCCCCGGTTGGTGTTCCTTAGAGGACGCTGAACAGCTGTCTGATTAAATTTAGATTTTACACTGGCCTAGGCTAGATTGGAGCTGATAAGTCAGAGGTGAGGCTATCCTCTTACTGCTGTTGCACTTGTCTCGTCTGGATCTTTCAGCAGCTCGTAAACATTTTGACTAACAGAGGTTTTTGCTACATAAAGTGCTTATTTATGGTGGGCTGCCTATCAGTGAAGCAGTGTTAGGATAACTTTGTGTGGTGCATTCCATGTTCACCAAAGGTGTGTTCAGCATTTCAAAGCTAGAGCTTGAGCTTAAGGCGCTTGACGTGCAGTCTGCACTGCTCAATSCGCAGCGGCAGGAACAAACTGGAGCCTTCCTGTGTTGCCTGCCCTGCTGCCCAATCTGCCCCCTCCTGTTGAGGCACCTGCCTAGTTCRGTCTGGTGCTGGATCTGCTGCAGTTGGATCTGCTGCCCAAGGCCACGTTACCGGTGCTGCAAACTGCCCTGCAAACTGCCCTCTGAAGGCCTGCATGTAGTTCTTACCCCTCCAGACTGACATCCTATGTTTGAGGCCCAGGCATAATTGCTTGGATGTACAGGTTGAGAGGAAGGAAGATGAGTTTTGTACTGTGGGGATTGCCTAGGGTATTTTTTCTTCCAGGGAAGAAAAGGAAATTGGGAAGGGGGTGGGGAGGTGTGGAATACGTTAATCAGGAGAGGAAAATGTGGTATTTGAATGGGAATATTTTTGAATTATATCTTTGAATAACTGATCTGGAAGTGGTAACTTAAGTCTCTAATTGCAAAGACTGTCCAAGGAAAAGCTAGAACATGACTCACCTCTTCCAGACTGCCACTCGGAACCGTATATAGGCTCTAGTGAAAATGAGTGTGCAGCAGAGTGGCACCAGCAAGCGGGAAGGTCTGCCCTCATGGGCAGAAACGTTGGCACCCACTGGAAGCTGGGGCTTAGTCACAGAATGAGCATAAGTTAAACAGGAGCTGGAAACTGCTTTTCAGAACAATTGCCACTTCAGATGATTACTGAAACTGCCAAACTCTGATTTGCCAGGCAGGAGGTTGTGTCTGAGAGAATCAGAAAGATTCAAGACTATTAAAAATGTTTTTCATTTTACTCAACAAAGGGAGAGTTTAGGTGGATTTTGTAGATACTTGGAGTAGATTGAATTAGATGAAAAGTTGGGAGTCATTCTTTACAACTTTTTTGTGAGCCTTCTCAATCTAGAAAATGAGAAGTAGAATGCTAGTCAGAAATGTGAGACAGAGGATTTGTTTAACATGAATGCGTGAGATGAMGTGGTCACAAACTGCTCTGTCACATGCAGAGGTGCAAGCACTGAATTTCTGCAGCAGTTTACCCAGTCCAGTGCTGCCAAGCTCTAAATAAAAGCTACAAGTATTTTTGCATTTTGAGTGCTACTTGTTTTCCTATGGCATTTCACCTGTTTTTTTCCCCTCCCTCCATCAAATCTGTCTGCAGGCCAACATGTCTTTGGACTTCTTGGAGTACAAATCAAACTTTGAGCCCTTCTTCATGATGATTTCCACACCGGCACCACACTCGCCCTGGACCGCTGCTCCCCAGTATGCAAAGAGTTTTCCGAATGTCAGCGCACCAAGAAACAGCAATTTTAACATCCACGGCAAGGTAGGCTGCCTGCACACAGTCGGCCTGTGTTCTCTCACTGATGAGAACAGTGGACAGTTAATAYGTTGAATGTTCAGGTGTTCAGAAGAACAGGCTAATACCATGCCTGCTGGATGTTCAGTTGTTTTAAATGTACAAGGCTCCTTATTGTTACACTGGGAGTTTTGCTTCTGATGTCTTGTAATTGGTCAGTGTGACTCGTGTAGCCCAGGCTGAGCGGGTACCTTTGTTTTGGCTGGAGATGACAGCTTGTGGGATAGCTGTGTGCTGACCAGTGTGAGGTACAACTAGGAAGGGCTGGGAGGTTGCAAGGAGCCAAGAATGGCACCTAACAGGTTAGGCTAAAGTGCTCACACTAAGGAATGGGATTTTTTTCCATGAAATGTAGCAACTCATAAGCTGTATGCACAGCAAAGGCGAAGCTCTAGCCAGGCCTACATAATACAAAGCCACATGACTTAATGATTGGTAGTTAGTCTCTGTGAGTGCAGAACTGTGATGTGTTACACAGCTGGAACAGCCTAACACTGCTGCCCTTCTAGAGACAGGAGCTGTGATCAGCGTTAGTGCCTTTTCTTGAGCTGGCAGCGGGGGCTCCTGATGCCCAAGTGTGCTCGGAGCYGCACTGGTGCCTAGAGCAGCTGCAGCTCCTGCAGGAAGGGCACCCAGGGGTTCAACAGGCCTTGAGTGGCACTCCAGTCACCAATGCTGTGATGTCTGCTAGGCAGCCGGGCACTGCACCAGCCACGGTGCCTGAGCTAACTTCCTCGTTTCCTTGCATATTGCGTGGGCAAGGGGTTCCCCCAGCCAGGGGGGACYTGCATAAAGGGTAGGATGGAAAATCTTGTCAGGCTCTGGCCAGTCGTGAGTGCTCTAGTATCTGCTGAAGACCCTCAGCTGTGCCCTATCGCTTGGTATAGGCAGCTGGACTCCTGACACACCGGAGGGGTGTCAYGAAGCTCTCCCGGGACAGAAGTTGGCGCAGAGACATGGCTTATGTTTTGCCTCTCATGAGTTCCTCTGCCTGCGAGGTCAGAGCACAGCTGTTTTCAGGTCCTGCTAGAAGACACAGGATCCTGTCTCAAGGTCTCCTGACTTCCTTTAAGAGCAGGATACAGGTGGAAAGGAGGACTTGGTGGACAGTTTGTGTGTACCTGAAAGAAACTTGATAGGGACCCCACAAAGATATTTAGGTGCTTTGGGAAGTTCCTGAAACCTGTTAGTGGTATGGCTGAGTGTTTGCTCCTGGTCACCTGGTCAGCTTTCTTGCTGAGGCAGACCTGCCATTTCTCCAGAGATTTATTTTACAGCAGTCGTAGAAGAAAGATCTGAGTATAACTGAACTACAACTTCCCTCTTTGCCGAAGCAGAAAACAGGGAAACTGAGAAACTGCAGAACATGAGTCACTTCATTGTGAGTCCTTAAAGCCTGAGCCCTTTCATAGCTGGTCTTGTGACAGGGGGGAAATTGTGTAACTAGAAGCTCTACAAAGAGCATCCCAACCAAATACAGACTGGAGATGAGGATGAATGGATGCAATTCTTATCTTTCTTATTGAATGCCAAAGTGTAAAGTTGCACTGTCTCTTCCTTTATTCTGCTCCCTGCCATCACTAATCTTAGTTGTACACAAACCTTTCCGTGTACCTGAACAGTGGCTGACCCAGTGCAGGTTGATATTTCAGGATGTGTATGGTTTTTCATGACTTAAACTCTCTCAGTTGCTGTTCCTAAAAGTTGGGCCTGAAGCCAGAAGATATTACCCTTCAGCAAAACAAACTGTCATTCTGTCATTTGTGACATGACACTTTCTGTCACTTAAAAAAAAAAAAAAATTTTGCTCCCTTCAGTAGCCTCCAGCCCTGAGTTTATGATCCACTATGATATAATTGCAGTGCTATTAAAGATTTTTCTTGTTGCCCTTGACTCTTAATGCAAGAGTTCCCACCCTGCYTCTCTCCCAGTGTTGGGATGTGCACACACCTCTCTCTGGCCCTGAAGAGCCCCACTTTGACAACCAGGTCTAATCTTGTGATGCTGCCCAGTTCTTCAAGGTTCAGACCTGTATGGGGCTCCTTGCTGGACTGTGGTAACTACAGGCAGAGCTGTTACACCAGCTCCTGCCACAATTTCTTCCCCGGTTGCTCTGATAACGCCCACAGCCGTTTTCTCCCCAARGCGTGAGTGTGCAGGAGCTCCTGCCTGCTCTCACAGCTGGGACCTTCACAGCTGTGCAAGGGAACGGGGAGCCCGTGGGTGCCGCCGCGTCGCCTCTGGCAGGAGCCAAGCGGCGCCTCCACGCGGAGCAGCCGGCGTCGTGGCCCATCCAGGGTGCGGGAGCGGGTGCGGGGCTGCTGCCTTTGCTGCTCAGCTGCACTAACCCTGTGGTCTTTTTCCTTCAGAACAAGCACTGGTTAATCCGACAGGCAAAGACTCCAATGACCAACTCTTCAATACAGTTTCTTGATGACGCTTATAGAAAGAGGTAGGAATTTCTTCTGATTCCTTAATCGGAGTTCCCATGACTTCAACTCTTAGCTTTTCAAAAAATAGGTATTTTCTTTTTTAATTTGAAGGCTGTGGTCTGACAGTCGACCACAAGTTACCTGTAATAGTTTTGGGGATCTGCCTTGACAGATCTTGATTTTTTCCGATTGATTTTTGAAACCTTTTGCTCCCAAATGTTGCTATCCTTTTTGGTAAGGAGCAGTCATGCTGAGTATGTTCAGTGTTACTCTGAGTTCATGTACAAAATGTATGCTTCTTTAAAGGCACTTAAACTGCAGATTCTCCTGCAGATACCTCTGAATTTTCCTGCCAATAATCTGTCCTAGTCACCACGTCTCTTCACATGTGCCCTTGTTAAATGGGAATATGTGTAATAACCAACTAGGCAAGGAGAATGTTTCTTTTCTCTTTTGAGTGGATAAAGTGAAGGTACAGTTAATCCCTTATTTTTTTAATAAGTATGGGCTTATATTGTAGGAATATTGTCCTTAAGAGGTCTGTGGTGGATGTCCATTTACCTTTCCACACTAAGCTCATTTTGGGCAGTTAGTGTGTGTTAGCCGGTCGCTCTGGAGATGGAAGACTGAGTTGTTTGTTTGGGGCATTGGCTTTATGAAACAAGTAAAACTGTGCAGTGAAACCTTAAATACAGCTTGTAGGCCACGGAGCCCAAGAACAGAATGATCTAGTTAACTCGGCATAATACTAGTCTGTGGCGACCTACTGTTGGCCTGCTGGAAGCAGCCACTTGTCACAGCAGCAGCCACCGTGACACAGGAAGGCCGGTAGAGACAGCAGAATCTCAGAACCCTGATGTGGAGAGAGGAATACAAAATACTTGATACAGTTTTCAAGCAAAGAGGATGCTGTATAAATAACTAAGTTCAAGGAATATTTGTGTTTAATAGTAATACTAGGTACAAAGAAGTAATAGCAAAAGACCTTGTGGGAGATCACTCTGACTCTTTGCTGCTTGTGTTGCTTCAAAGCTGGTCTCCAGATAAGATTACAAGTAGCAGCATTTGACCTTTCTCAGACACTACAGAACCAAATCAACAAGAAGTGAAGACAAACTGTCTATTTATCTAAAACTGCAGCCTCAAACAGTACAGTACAGTAATCTATCCAGTTTGTTTTCAGAATATRTAAAATGTGCTTACAGAATGTGCATTGCTGACTTAGGGCACAGTATGAATGCTAGCAGAATTCCTGTTGTTTCTAAATTTCAATACTCTAGTATGAATTACTTGCCTATTTCTGTATAGGTGGCAAACTCTGCTGTCAGTAGATGACCTGATAGAGAAGTTAGTGAAGAAGCTGGAGTTTCATGGAGAGCTAGATAACACTTACATCTTCTATACGTCAGACAACGGCTTTCATACTGGTAAGGTGTTCACTGCTGACTGAAAACTGGGAATTGTTGGGAATTGTTTACCTTGTCACCCTCCAGAATTTGGAGACAGCAGCTGTGGCAAAAATAGCCACGTGAGAAGCACTAATTTGTGTTGCRACACACACTTGTGTTGCAATTGTTTCTTGTTATTGTTTGAGCCTTAATCTCTACCACTATACAGTAGTATATGTAAAACTAGGGCAGAARTGGAGGAAAGATCTGTGTTCTGTAGGAAGAATTGATCAGTAAACATCTGTCTKTTTTTGTATCATGTTTCACTACTGAAAAACCCACAACTAAGCTGTTAAATCCTGTAAAAGGTGGCTTGTATTTTCAAGTTGCACATCCTCCCACTTAGTGTAGTTATTGTTAAGCACCTCTTCTGACTTCTTAAAATTGGTTCTTGGAAATTACATGGGTTAATGCTTACTTATTTATTTAAACCAATTAACTTTTTTCCCCTTTCTGATTTTGCTGCATAGGCCAGTTCTCACTGCCCATAGACAAACGGCAATTGTACGAGTTTGATATCAAAGTTCCACTGCTAGTCCGGGGACCAGGAATAAAACCAAATCAGACCAACAAGGTAATATCAGAAATGAAGCCAAAACACTTAGTTGCTTTTAAAGTTCATTCACAGTTACCAGTTTTAGATGTAGTTGATACTTGTGCACACCAAGTGAAATCTGCAGGGCAGTACAAGCAACAAAGACCTGACCGCCTTTGATCGGTAAATTGACAAAATTGAAAACTGCAAAAATACATGAGGTAAAGACTACATTTAAAAAAAAAATTCTTGGAAATGTTACAGATTCTGTTTAGATGTATGTAAAGTTACTAGTACTTAAAATACGTAAGTCTTATTATACCACTTTTTGGAACTAACTGTTTCCCTCGCCCTACAGATGCTTGTTGCAAACATCGACTTGGGTCCCACCATTCTGGATATCGCAGGGTATGACCTGAACAAGACTCAGATGGATGGGATGTCACTGCTGCCACTGCTCGTAAGTGGATGGGCAGGGACAGTAAGTGGTGATGCTGAGGGTGCTATTCAGAGTGAACAGGACGGTACTTCCTTCAGCAAATTTTGTTTGTTTGTTTTCCAGTTCTAAGTAAGAGCTAGTGCTCCCAGTRCTAAATTCTGGCAAAACTTCCCTGGTTTCATAAAGTAAACCTGACCTTCCAATAAGTGAGCAGAGGCCTATCTAAATAAAGCTGCTTATAGCTGATCCTTTTAGTTTTAATTAAATTTAGTCTATAAATTGAAGGCAGATTACGTGGAAAGGTAGGAGATCATCCAGATTTAAAACAGTGCTTTGCTATTAAAACCTTCTATCCAAGCCTTAAGCCGTTCTTTAGATGGAAGCAGGTAAAAGGCATCTAGTTGAAACTGTAAGAATCCAAACTCTGCATTCACTCTTCTACTGCATAAGCGTATGATAGAGCTTTTTGTCACTTCCAGCTTTTTAAAAGTAACCGGAAGAAATAAATCAGCTTAAAACTTAGTTGCTGCTTGAAACTGTTTTTTAAGGCAATGCTGTCTCTCTTATTATTTATTTCCATCTGTTGTGGTAATTCAATTTAAAAGCTAAACAAATGGCCTGCAGAGAGACCTTGCCTATCATACAGTGATATCACCTGGCAGCATGGCTCCTATTTTATCTTACGGTGTGATTCCTTATGAATCCAAGCTAGTGCTTTAGGGCACCTTCTTATTGGGGTTTAGGTTTTTGAATTGGATCTGCCTTCCAATTTGAACGAAAGGCTGGATATTACAAGACTGACTCAGCATGGGGAGCATGACTCAAACGCTATGGACAACAGCTTTGGGGGTAGCCCAGGCAGGGAAAGCTTGCTCTGTTTTCCAGTGCACTCAAGTCGTTAACTCTCCATCCTAGAGAGGCGACAAGAACGTGACCTGGAGATCGGACTTCTTGGTGGAGTACCAAGGAGAAGGCTACAACGGCAGCGACCCCACCTGCCCCGGCCTGGGGCCTGGCGTCACAGTAAGCGGCACAAAGTCTGGTCCTAGCAGGGAACAGCTGCTGGGTTAAACCTCTCTGTCCTGGGGGCTAATGTGCCTCTGGAAATGAACTTGAGACCAGTTTTAAGTCTCGTGACATGTAACACGTACAGCACTCTGTAGCACAAACATTTAAGAGATGCCATATAAACCATGCAAAGCTGATAACCTGCATGTTGTACAGAGCACAAGCCCCCTTTCTATAGGAAACTATAGGGCCCTGGACTAGAGGAAGCCCTAGAATTATCTATAAACATATGGCCTTGGAAATGGGTGGCAGTGCTATAATGTTCCTTCTAAGCCTCCGAAGGCCTTGCCRCATGGTTTTTATCTGCAACTGTTACTTGTATCACTAGATATGCTATGAAAATCAAAGGAGGTCATCTTAGTAGCGGGCTTTTGGGGTTGTTYTGCTCTTCTTTTTGGTGTACTTGATTTTGTCTGGGAAGCTATGCCATTTTGATGGGAGTTAACCAGTTGCACTTTCTCAGATTCAGAACAGCATTTCTGTTTCAAATTCCCAGTGGAGACCAGCACGCATTTCCTGAGATTTTTTGATGCTCCTCAGTGCTGCTGTCGACTCTAGGGGAAGGATTGCTAGCTTCTCCTTTGAAGTGCTTGTTTGTTGCTTTCCTCCCAGCACTGCTTCCCAGACTGCGTCTGTGAGGATTCCTATAACAACACGTACGCCTGYGTGAGGACCCTCTCGACTTCCTGGGATCTGCAGTACTGTGAATTCGACGACCGGGAGGTAATTCTTGTGCTCACTAAGGGCCATGAGCTCCTCGTCACAACTGGGCTAGTCACTGTCTACAGCCTTATCTGTTTCCAAGGTTGACACGGAGTACTCCGAGAAGCAGATTAGCCTGGCCCGCAGGATAAGCAGCCACATGTTTAAATCCTGAGGAGAATGTTTGACCAAAACTCTGTGGTTGAGTTTAGAGAAGGACAGGGAGAAGGAATAGCCTAAACTATGATAACTGCCTGCTAGTACTGGTCATCTAGCAGCCTCATGGGCAGCTGGCTTCTGTTGTCTTATCCTAGTTCCATGTAGCAGATTCTTCTGTACCACAAATATTTTTGTTATACGGCACTTCTGCTTTCCGTGCATTCAGTTGCTGCTTTTTTTCCTTTGGCAGGAGGCAGGGGGAAATGAAGTCTCTGACTGTTCATAATCTCTCTCCTACTTTACAAGCACTGGCTTCCCTCTTGTGACACACTTTCTGAAATGAGGAAGCATTGTGGTGGTCATGGGGCATAGGAGAAGCAGCTCAGGTCTCGCTAACGAAGCACTAGCTCTATGCACAGAACAGAAGTGTTGCAGGGCTGGTCTTGCTTGTGTCAGTTTGTACAGTTTTTCTTAAAAAGCCTCAGGTCTGAAGTACTGGGGCCACAAATTTAATCTCCCTCCAGGAAGATAGATAAACGTGCAAATATCAAGTATTTCCAGGTACCATGCCAGCATATGAAGTACTTTCTAGTAACTTAAAATTAAGAGCTTATAGCAGAAGAGTAAATCTCATGACTAGATTGTTGCAGGAAGCCGGGATGACATGTAGGGGTGATTAAGATGCTGCTTAACAGTCCCTGCCCTTTCACCACTTGCTGACAACTTACGATGAAGCAGAATGAATGCTATATCTGTCTTTGTAAAAGTAGACTCCAAAGCTGACCTCAGATTTCATGTCATCTTTTTTTCTTATAAAAGTAAAAGGTGCTGCAGTTACGGGTTATCTGTGTTACCAAGGCCACATCAACTTGGACTGATTATACCAGGAAGATGCAGCAATGTGGATTTTAAAACGTTGTGGTGAACAAGAGACCTTGCAACTCTAACTTCTGCAGAGGTGTCTTTAGGTTGGATACAGCTTAATTGCTGTCAGCTTGCACWGATACCTGCTGCAACTGCACCCACTGTAGCACAGGCCAAACCTGAGCTGCACTCTTGATGTTTGCCCAGTATTTGTTCTGCAGAATGGTTCAAAGAGCTTTCTGCCAAAAGCTGAATCTGCCCTAAAAGCAAGCCTCCAAAGCACACAATAGAAAGCTTTTTTTCTAGTATATTTGTATTYATGCACACCTAAAATCTGAGTTGTACAGTTGTATGTACACAGCAACCACACAAAGGTGACACGATGCCTCTATGCCTGTTTAGATGAGTCAATTAATGAAATGACAGCCAGTAATTTCCCCATGGTGTCTTTGGATCTGTGAGCTTATGCATGGGAATGCTGCAGTATGTAATACTTCATCTTATGTTGTCATACACTGTACTTCCAAAATAATATTGTGAGCATGGAGCTCTTGCTGTACTACAGGCACTTTCTTCTGTTAAACAGGTGTTTGTGGAAGTGTACAACTTGACTGCAGACCCACACCAGATCAATAATATCGCTAAAACGATAGATCAAGAAATTCTGGAGAAGATGAACTACCGCCTCATGATGCTGCAGTCCTGCTCAGGAGCCACGTGCCGCACGCCAGGCGTCTTTGATCCCGGGTAAACACTGCTTTGACTGGTTATAGTGCTGAGCGTAGATAAGCTTTCACAGCAGAAAGTTATGATGGAACACGGTACCACCAACACACTTTTCTATTATTGTATATCCTGATTGTCCGATTCTTATTTTACTCTTCATTGAAATTTAACCTGTTAAGCCTCAGCTGAGGTGGCATARCTAGTATTCTTCTGGTAACATCAGCATATTAGTTCTGTATCATCATGACTCATCTGTTGCTATGTGTAGAGGGAATGTCCCTGCTGGATGCTGGCAAAACCAGCCATTTGTGTAGCCTTGTAACAGCTACGAATCAGCTTATTACCAAATAAGCAACTTCTAGGAGTGTTAGTTACCCTGGAGTTCACACCGATTGTTTCCTTTCACAGGTACAGGTTTGACCCGCGCCTCATGTTCAGCAATCACGGCGTTCGAGCTCGCAGGTTTTCTGCCCAGTCCTTATAGAGCATTAAGAGCTCCCCGTGATCAGCTCCCACTGACCAGTTTCTCCAGTGACTGCAGCAGGTCTGTCTCTCACCTTTGATTGATCACAGCTGGAAGACTATTAATGGGCTGTTCAAACCCAGTTTGGAAGAAACCCCCTTGTCTTTAGCTGGTTGCCTTGTGCAATATGTAACTTTACAGCTGAACTGTAATTCTAAATTGCCAGACACAGCTAATCTGTCTTGCTCAGATATTTGATTACCACCTTTGTCTTTCAAGTACTTTTTTTCATATCACAGGCATAGGGGTGACCTACGACCTCCGAATCTGAACACAGTTTATTTTGTTCTTAAAAAATCAACCAATACCCACTTGGCTGTGGTTAGGTAGGCAGGTGTCACTGCACGGAAGTGCTCACCCATGTTCACACCCTGTCATAGGGACTTTCTGAAATGCCAAGTTTAATTATGGGTTTCTCATACTGAGCTCAAAGCTGTTGATGACAAGAGCAAAGCTGCCCCAAATGGCATAGGAAAGCACTAGCCCAGACTGTAGGATGTGACTGGCGGGTGTCTTGTGCACAGTTAAAATCAGAATGCCAGGCCCCTTCTTTGGACACGACCACTTCAAGTGATACCAGTGCATTTGAGGGATCTGCTTGTAAACAAGAATGTAAATTCAACCTCCTTCTAGTGTGGAATGCTAGAGTAGGTTTGTGTACTACTGCAACCTCCAGAGGTAAGGTTTTAGGCTTCTTAATGAGCTATCATTAAGATGTGATAAGGACTGAGTTATCATAGAACAGGGTTGAGACTAACAAGGATTCAAGTAAGTGTGTGCCTGCTTTGCGCTCACTTAAGTAAGCTTGGATACGTGAACAGGAATACGAGAAGTCAAGAACAAGGCACCGCAACAGAGATGACCCTTCTCTAACCTCCCAGTGTTTCCAGCTGTCTAACAACTTAAGCCATTTAGATGCTTGAAGGTAAATTTTGAAAGCCAGCTAGCTCACTAATGTGCAGGGCAATAGCAAGAGAGCTATTTGAGGCAGTTTTAAGTGCTTCCTAGATTTGCTCTGTTGTTGAGATATAGCTGCTCAGAACCTGCAGCAAGTGGCCTTTGCACCCAAGGGCTGCACGCCAGACCCGCGACTGCAGCGTGTGTCGCTTGGCTTCCTCTGCAAGGGGGACATGACCTGGAACGCAGCCCGTGTGAGGAGCCCTCCTGCCAGGGAAACACCAGGCAGGCAGCAAAGGTAGGGCTCTTGCCAAGCTGATGGGGCACGTGCTCCGGTGCATACATCCACAAACTGGCTACAAGTGCAAGGTCCTACCCAGAGCAGCTCAGTTTTCCTCACTTTTCCCTCTGAAGGACAGAGATTGACTTTCATGTAGCTTAGAGCTGTAAGATTCCTGTGACTGAATACAGGTTATGTTTCTATAGCATCACTGTCTTAAATCTAGCTCATTGTTTCAATCTCTAAAGTGACTGAGCATTTGGAGGGAAAAATAGCTTGAGGGAGAMCTTTTCAGCTGGAGTATCTGTCTAAAGGCTGGGTTTTGGTTGCTGTCTACTTGCATGCTCTTGGATGCTCAACATTTGGGTTCTTTTTCCCTCTGCTACAAGTGTAGCTTTATCCTGTTGTCTTCATTGAGCCGCTCATCAATTCCCCTCACACCCTGGCTTCTCTTCAAAAACAAAACCAAAGCTGTTTCTGTGCTCTCAAGTGTTTGTTCTTGCACACGGAGCTCAGCCTGAAGTTCACTTAAGTGGTGTTTTGCTCAGCTGTTTTTAGCAACTTAAATTTGTTCTTTGTTGAAACTTTCTGGTAGCTGTGTAGAGGCTAGAGTGAAATAAGTTGATAGCTGCAAATTAAGTCCTAACCAGTGCTGCCCTATCTAAAAAATGGGGCATGAGACAGTTGAAATTCTGTGCAAGCTGTGTCATGATGCTAATCCACCATGGTTACAAATTAAGTTGATCAATTTAACACTCTTCTTAAAACAATCTAAACCATAGTAAGCATTTTTAATAAATAATGTGCTGTCTAATAATTGACATGAAAACTAACTGAATGGAATCAACATGGAATAGTGAGAAGTGGGATCAGAGAAAGCATTTTAATCAAATGAACACTCTTGCTATCTGCACAGCTGTGAAGAGTTTTGTCTGCAATAAGGCTCAATATCCAACACTAGGGTCAGAGATCCACCCTATCCTGCAGTCTGTCACAGGCATTAAATGTCACGTCACACTCAATTTTGGAACAGAATTGCTTGGTCCTTACTGCACCAAAAGAGAATGGCTGCTCAGGGTACCTGCTTCACTCGCTCTCTGCCACACACTTGAGATTTATGGATTCAGCAGAAGCCCCTCGAGGGCAGGGCAGGCCCTGCAGCTGCTGGGGTCCCACGGCCTTTGCAGCAAACCCCCAGTGTGGCTTGTGTCTCTTGGCAGGAAGCAGTCACCTCCAGGGCTATGTTGTACAGCCCTGAATGAGCAGTATTAATTCTTACCATTGACAATAAAGGAATATTATGAAGGAACTTTTAACTTGCAGCCACATCTAATTCCCAAATAAGTCATTTTAAAATTAAATGTTTTCCCTTGCTTTCCCTTTGCTATGTGACTTGAGCATGGCTGTTTCAGTAYCCTGTTACTGAAAGCACTTGTATTCAAAAATGAAGAGCCCTTACACGTGCAGAGTTTGGATGCAAGTGAAAGGTGAGAGATGGTTTGTTTGGTTGTTCATACCTGGTTCTGATCTAGTAAAGGAGGTGGCCTTACTCTATGGTGAGAAATGTGGCTAACAGCTCCCTTATTCCAGTAACCTGAACTGTAAACCTTATTCTCAGGCCATTACTTCAGTGTAAGCAAATAGAGCTAACTCTCTCCTTAGTCAGCATAGGCCCAAGAACTGTCATTCTTGTCTCGGCAACAAACCTATAGAACAACTCACACATATGCATACACACAAAACAGGTGTAAAAATCTGTTCCAATTATCACACTTAAGTCTGATCAATTACCTAAGCTAAATGAGATTTGATTATAATAATTGTCAAATTTTATTTTGATTCAATTAAAGTGTATTTTATTTGTATTACTCTTCTCTGTATGTGAGCATACTTTGTAGCATGTTGTGAGCAAACTTGATTTCTGYTCTGTTTGGAATCTCTGTTTAGAAAGTGCCCTTCCAGAGGACCCTGTTCACTGCTGCACTTTGGGGTAAAGACAAAATAAACTGCCTATCAAATTCCTGAACCTCCTGTTACTGAACCAAAGTTAAACCTTTCCCAAGGATCAAGCCAGGAGACTGGATTTGTAATTTATGAGCCTATTCACAGCACAACAGGCAGAGATGTAACTGCCACTTGTGACCTTTCCTTCCTTGTGGTCACAGTTACTGGCCTAGCCCTGCAGGTGGTTACACATACAGTGTCTATAGCAAAACATGGCCTGACTCATTTGCACTAGGAAAAAAACAGTGAAATGTGAGAAGACTTAACTATAAGCTGCATCTAGTCAGATATACTTTTCTTGGGCACTGTTAGCTTTCCATATATTCAGCCACATCAAGAAAAAAAGGCAGTAGGGAGCTCTTCTTCATAACTGCTTTTAATTATGTTCTCAGTCCCAAAGAAGAAGAATGAGGAGCCTTTCAAAAAGTGAACTGCAGGCAAGACTAGGCTCTGTAGACYGGGCCCTTCAGCACAACCCTCCTAAAGTACAGAGGGGAGTGACTTGCATCCAACCGTGCTACAGCTGAAGCCTTCCCAAGCTTCTAAAATATCCCTTTCTATGCTCCACTTCTGTTCACCTCTTTTGCATTAGTTTTGGTTCTTCTACTAGCCTCCTGAGAAGTAGAGAAAATACTTAATAGCTGCTTGCATAAATACTACTTTATATATATATATATATACACACATTATTTATACACTAGCTTATAAAGCCTTTAGCTTAATTGTAGCACCACAACCAAAGGCATGAGAAAAAACCCCAGCTGTTAGTTCCCTGCTTTCCAGATGTTACTGCAGTCCCTCAGCTATCTTTGATGTTGTCTTATACAAACCACTGGCCCGTGTCTCACTGACAGCCTCGTTAGAGCTCATTAATCTTCGAGTGCAGTCGGTGCCTGCTTGCTCAGGATGGAGGGCTCGTGGCTGAGCTGCCACCAGGAGCTCATGGTATGCAAAAAGGGAAAAGAGGGACTTACTGGAGCACAACTGAATCAGCTACCTCCTCTCTTCCTCTACCCATCCCAGGGCAAAAGCAGAATTGTTCCAAATACAAGTACTGTGCTGGATCACAGCTAAGCACCTGGCACCTGCAGGATGAGAATGCCTTTCTCTGGGCTTTGGGAAGGGTCTGCTCCCTACAGCGCAATGCCTGGACTGGCAGCAGGCCTACCTGCTTCGGGGAAAAAAAAAACAGTGTTGCTGTCAGCAAAAGGCTGAGAGCTTATAGAGAGCTTACAGCTGGGCTACTGTGCTCAGAACTGATTATTCTGCCTTATAAATGAGCGCTCAGGGTTACCACAATAACAGAACTGCTATGGTTTAACATATGAAAAGAAAMCAATCTTGAAAAGTGGCAATCCTCAGAGGTTCTAGAAGGGCCTAGGTTCTTATGTTTTGGGATGCAGGCCGGTGAAGATCCAACAGTGGGCTTTGTATTTCTTAAGAAAAAATACCAAATTCCTTGGTATTGTTTGTGCCTTAACATGTTAACATTTTTGTGAGGMAAACTGCCAATAATTAAGTAACGCTACACACTATCAGCGCTACCTTTGCAATAAATCTCTCCAGGAATGGATAGGGGCCTAAAGCATCCAGAAAAGGAGAAAAGAGAGTAGGAGAGCAACTAGCAGATATTCCAACTCTCTGTAAGCCTTTGCTTGATAGTCTGCTGTTGTCTGGCTATCCAAGCAGGTTGTCCACAAAAGCTTCTTTTTCTCCTGCCTTAGCTCCACTTGCCCCCAGGCTGCCCACGAGGTGGATGCAGCGGGTTGGCTATAGGGGCCGATGCAAAGAAACAAGCCCAGCGCTGTGCGAGATGGGTCACTTACTTTGCAAGTCACGCATGGAACCGGTCACATTGAGAGGAAGGGAGGCTGCAGGAAGTAGTAARTAAAGGCTGAGTGGCACGGAATTGCAATAGTGATGATTTGCCAATAAATTTTCTATAAGTAAAATAAACAGTACTCCTGAAAGGATCACAGGGAATTAGAGCCCACTGATGTTTTTTAATTGACAGCAGATAGAGCATCTATCCATGTCTACCTAAATTTAACTAAGGCCTGAGATTCTTGCCTTTGATTTTTTCCCCTATAAGAAGGTTCCAGTAGCAGCCCTGCTAAGTGCTATTTTAGGTGGCAATTCTAGAAAAGTGAGGGGAAAAACAGCCAGGAAAAGCCCTGTGTGCAGAGGGGCTGAAGGTCTCGCATCGGCGCTGCTGGGCGCTGCCGCAGCCACGGGAGGGGAGCGCCRGTGGCGCATGTGGCCCTGCAGCCACCGCTTCCCACTGCCAGCACGGAGCCTCTGGAGCTGCTCCCTTAACCGCTGAGCCCACTGGGAAGCCAGGCTGCTGCCGGGCCGGCTTGCAGCGAGGAAATGCTCCGAAGCTCTTGGCAGCCTGACTTAGGCACAAGAAAACAGAGAGGACAGCATCATCTTTGTAACACCAGCCAGTTCACAGTGCTCAAGGTGCAAACGCTTTGCAAAAACAAATTCGCAGCCTGATCACACCATTCTCTCAAAAACTCAACATGAGGTGGATTCAAAGCCTAGAATACAACATCTTTTCTTCTGTAGTTCCTCCTTTAGCAAAATATTAAGGCCTATTACAACTGCAACTGCAGTTAGGACTTTTCAAAATAAAACTGGAGCATCCATGAGTGTTTTTCTACAGCAAGGACAGAGCTAGCATTTTACCATAATTATTTCATCCCTGACCTAAGTCTCCCGCCAGCAGGTCTGCAGGACAGCTGCAGACACAGAAATCAGGCTTTACGTTTGCCTCTCATGCTGGCAGCCCCCTCTCAACACTGAAATCCTAAAAGGCAAAGATGAACTAGGCATGATGCACTATCAAACCGTGGTAACCCTCACAGCTTAAAAAGCAGAAAGCTACAGAAGTGATTTCAGCTTCTGGGGTTTTTATTCCCCTTCAGCTTACTGAAAGGACAAGCTCAAGGCCTGTCCTTTCTTCGTGCTTYAAACAAGTTGTGTGTTTCCCTTTGGGCAAAGCTTCTCCCAACCTCATTTTATCCAGAACTCTCTGCAAAGATAAGACTCAGCAAGAACTTTATGTCTGTGATCTCCCTGAGTTCCAGCTTTGCAAGCCGATTTTTTTTGCAGAAAAACTTTGTTTAYAGGATATGATCACACAGAAGAGCTACCCCCAAGCACAGCGGCAGTGAGCTCCCTTGCTTTTACTGCAGCCTGGAAGGTGATGCACAGGATGCAACACGCAGTAAAAACGCGCAGACGGTGGCATCTGAGGGGGCAGTTTCTCTGGGCAGAGATGGGGATAAAGGAGACATTAATTTGCTTGCAGGTGCATGTTCACCCTAGGCTTGTTTATATTGAAAAATGTGAACTGCTACTTGGCAACTGGCATGAAGGATACGCTGCCATTCTGACATTATATGAGTTAAAACCATGGATTACGGCTTTATCCAGTGAGCACTTCTACCAGAGTTTATAAACTGCTACAAAAATGTCCAGCATCCGCTCATTCACATCCATGGAAAAATGCTGCGAGCAGATAGGTCAGATTCTCAAGGTATCAGCTGTCAGCTGTAGATTAAAAGGATTCTCAAGGATTAGTGGCCTACGGAAGGCACCTGTTTATCCAGCGGGAGAGCTTCAGAGCCGCTGCTCAGCACTGCTCCATCTTGCCTGGGAAAAGAAACAAAGACCAGACTTTGCTGTGATCAAATATCCCGGCCTTCTAGTGCCTCCCTAGGCATGTTGGGAACAGCTGAAATTTCTCATCACATACCAGATTCCATATTTAAAGAGAGAAATTTAAACTTGCAATGCTATTTCCTACCATGCTCTGCTACCATGCTATATTTAAAATTATAGAGAAGGCCGTAGTGGGTATTGCACTAGACTTGTCTTATGGGTATGTGTAGTAAACTAAAGGCAAAATATATCACTAGTTATTACCCATAATAGTTCATCTTAACACATATGGAAAACAGCATTTATCTAAATCAGGCAACACCACAACAACAGTTATTACAAACTTGATYGTCTTGTATGACTTCAACAGGCTGAATCCAGTCTTCTAAAATATCCTTAGTGGGGGATATCCCTGGTAGCATTGTAGGGATGGAAGAACAAAAGTATGGTTAAAAAAATACAGTTTAAAATACAACTTTTGAAGAAAGGAAACAGTTTTAATAAACCACCTGGCCATTTGGTAGGAAGAGGTGCCTCAGTGTAAACAGCTGAACTAAGGTCCATTCGGCTCCCATATTGCTACAATGGAAAATAAAGGTTAATTCCAGCTTGGAAAATGGCAAGAGTGTTGCAGGCAATAACCTCTTAGCTCTGTGAAACACAGCACAAAACAGTGCCTTTAAGATAAAAATGTTCTGGGCTATCCAGTATTTCACTGGAAAATATCATAAAACTACCAGAAGGTATCTGAACAGTCAGACTCATTGCTCTGCATTTGGAGTTGCTAAACTTCTCAGGGATTCTGTGGGATCCTGTGTCACCCACATCACACGAGGAAAAAAAATCATCCCAACATAGCAAGTCCTGGGTCTACAGCACTAAGCTTCGTCCTGAAGARAAGATCTCCGTTTCCGTTGAGCTTTCGGCCTGCTTTACATATACCGCGGCTTAGCCCAGGTGTTGGGAAGGTGCCAGGGATGCCAGGCAAGGCTGAAGCACTGGAAGGGGCTGCCCAGACAGGCTGTGTGTGGAGTCAGCTTCCTCGGAAATGCTCAAAACCCGCCTGGATGCCGCCCTGTGCCCCGTGCTCTGGGTGTCCCTGCTGGAGCAGGGGGTTGGACTGGATGATCTCTAGAAGTCCCTTCCAACCTCAGCCATTCTGTAATTTTACCCATTTGGAAGTTCCCTACTTGCCTTCGTCACCAAAAGCAAAAGACTCGGGCCCTTTCAGTTGTCCTGTAAAGATTCTTCATCCACTCTGAGGCCGTTTTTGCTACAAACCAACTAGAGCAGGAGGTGGCTTTTTAAATCTACACCAAATGAACTATAAATAACATTGAAATAGAAAATTATTTTGAGAGAAATAACAGGACTTTATTCCAGAGATCTTAATAACTGCTTTCTCAAAAGAATTCATCAAAAATACTGATTCTGACTAAATTAACAATCACGTGGAGCTTGCAAAATCAGAGTAAAAAGACCTTGTCCAAAATGTCTATTTTAAAAGATGGTTTTTTTCCTCCTGTAATCAATATACAGMCAAAGCTGCCATCATCCTGAATGAGCTTTATTCCCCATCATTAGTCTGAGACCTGTCCTTGTATGCAGGTATGAACACTATGTTGAAGACTACCTGTGTCTCAGTTTCAAAGCTTCAACAAAGTTTTACCTCACAGAGTCACTCCTGCTCATTAAGCTCCGGAGCACATTTGATTTGTCCCTGAGGAGTACGGGAGAAGCTTTCAAAGCACGTGTAGTTCTTGACAAACACCTCACTAAATTGAGACGAAATTAAGGGAGGGAACCTACTTGAATGGTTCTGGATCTATAGGATCTATAGTAAAAAGTAAATGTTAGCAAAGGTAGCAATGACTGCAACTAGAAAGCTCCATGCTTGGCACATGGGAGGGAAATAAGAGTTATATAAATATAAATAACCAAACACAAACAGGGAGATGAGAAGACAGTCAATTAAAAGAAAAAAGAAATCATGGTTGGCACTTATTTAAGATTGGAAGCTCCTCCAGCAGCAGTACCGCCACCACTTTCTGCCAGCACTGGAACATATCTAGCCACGGGATGGTTGTTCCCGACACTAAAACAATAAAATTAAAACAATACAGCATCCTTACGAGAAGCCACGTTCCTCCCGTTACGTAACTGCCCCGTGTCCTGCCCCTCCACAGGCACCGCTGGCCGCGCGGCCGCCATTTCCTCCCCTGGGGGCGCCCCGCGAGCGGCCGTTACCGGCGCCAACCGCCGCGCGCCGCCTCATGGCGGCGGCCGCGCCCGCCCACCGGCAGGAGGAGGGAAGAAGCATGGGGCAAAAGGGGGAAAAAAAGCCTTTTTTTTCCCCACCTGCCCCGCTTTTATTTTATATTTTGAATTAATAAACGCATACTGGAATAAATTATTAAAATAAAATGATGGACTCCTCCTCCATTCAGCGCAGGAGACTTCCTGAGAGTGATGCCGTAGGCTGGCAGGGATGAGTTGGTTTCAAGCACAGGTAAAGGCAAGGAAATTTTAGAGGGAACAGGAAACTCAGGGAACAGAGGTGAGCGTGGAAAAGAAAAACACACCACACAGCTGAAGTACTGCCAACTTCAACTTTAATAATGAAACCATCACTTGCCCTTTCAGTAATAACTTTAAGGGGAAGACAATCTTCCCTATAAAAATAAAAATTAAACTTGTCAAAATTATAAATAGTTTGTTTGTTTTTTTTTAAAGACATACATTTTCATGTTTCCCTGCATTTCCCCCCGTATCATTTAATCATTCTGGTACCATCGTACAATGAAATGAAAACAGCTTTGCAACACAGCTTTCATAGTTGAATTTGATGCTAAAATCAAAAATAGAACAACTGGTCAGGCATGACCATTTCTTTTAAACTAAAGCTGTTGTAATCGCCAGTGTGTAAAAAAAAATAGTAATAATAAACTCCACACATGACAGGTTACAATAATTATCTGTGGACTAAGAGAAAAATCAAAATATAGTAAGCTTGTTTTGGTCATTCCCCCCTCCAATCAAAACCTGTAGTGCATACAACACTGATTGAGGTTTTTGGCTAAAGTAAATGTAAATGTGCCCACATAAAAAGACTGATAGTTTAGTTCAAGTAAAAATAAAATTCACATATTAATATACACCACTTTTAGACTCAAACAGTGTTTAAATCTGAGCAACAAATGGTTCAATATTAACAGCGATAATGTAATGATAACATAGTTATGGGCAGATATATAAATTAAGTAGATCTTAACAGAATACCCATCAACATGCTGTTGTATTCATAGAAAAAAAAAACAAACTCTTAACAAAATATAAAAGCATTCCCTGAACCATTATAAAGTGTCTCACTTGAAGATGTTACTAACTCACACATGCATTACAATGTTACATGTGAAATTAAAAAACAAGATATGCCATATATATACTTTATAGTTACTCCTACCCTTAATTTCTCTTAACACATTATGATTGTCTCATTAAGTATTCAAATTCTTTCTGTAGAAGAGAAACAAAACCAAAGTCTTTTTTTTKKTKKTTTTTTTTTTAAGTCTGTTATTGAGAAAAGTTCAAAACAAAGGCACAATTATATCAAATTAAGAGGAAGAACAGAAGCATCTTGGAGTTTCATACAGTATCCATTAGATGTCACCAAAGTGTCAACAATTCCTTGGGAATTTACAAAGAACTTACTAAGACTGAAAAAAAAACCTGCTGCTCTTAAATCTTTAAGCACTCTTTCTTTTTAACTCATTAGTTTCCTTTCTGGCATAATGACTGAAGGTATCAGTTACTCAGATCTGCCTCATGCTTCTATTGCACACCCACTTCTTTGGTTTCCTCTGAACGTGCTTCTTTAGATAAATAACTCTGAAATAACAATTACATTTACAGAAAAGTAAAAAGTTCTTTTTTTCTTGCTACATTTTTCCTACTTTAAAATCAAGTAAATCAGCAGTCTACAGAATTTGGTAATCAGTCGTTCAAATAAGAATTCTAAGACCATTAGGAAAAAAGTCTGAATTACTAAAAGCAAAACTTCATTAAGCTCAGTCACCAACATAGCTAATAAATTCTAATTAAATGCTAAGCTAGGAACACAAATAAGAACTTCTACCTTCTTTGCCTGACTGAGCCTTTTGCAAACAAGGAAGCAGAGGAAGATTTTTTTGTCTTTTCAAGACAGTAACTTTAATTCATCCGGCCTACAAATGGATCACAGAGCCAGAGGAAAAATCCAACTTGCCACGAAGAGCAAGGCACCTGTAGCTACAGTTTGACCTAAAGGTTCCTGTGAGCTGGGTACTTCTCATGGCGTTATCCGTGACTACTCCTTGTCCCTATTTCRGAATTCAAGTAAAGAGCCACTTGCTGGTTCCGCTGCAGTTGGCTACTACCCCGCTCCTCACATTTAGGAAACAGCTTCTCCCGTAAGGACCTGTGCGTGCCGCTCCGCTTCCATTCTCGCTTAGTTCTCCCCTCTCATTCCTTCCCACTTATGTCTATTAATTATTACTTTTCCAGTGTGGATTTATGCAATTTAAAAAAAAAGCTAAAAACTTATTCACAATATTAAAACATCCTAAAACTTTACCCTTGTAAAATTAGTATTTTAACTTTCCTCTATATAAATACTACTTCCATTTAAAACCAGTCCTTCTTTGTCAGCTCTTACAGTCCTTCCCCAGCTCTCACCTTCTTTTCAACTTTCTCTTTACCCTCTCCAGGATTTAAAGCCTTCCAAAAATTTCACAGAACAAGCCATAAAAATCTTACATGTTTCCCACCTATAACAGTTTTCTCAAGAATTATACAGTAACTATTTGAAAACAGAAAGGTAGTGCAAATCCATTTTATCTCAAAGACAGTGCTCCAACTGATTCTCATCCTGACACTTTTACTCATTTTTAGCTGATCAATTTGCACATCCTTACTTGTAAAGCTACCATTAAAGCAAAGAAGAAAAAAAAAAAAAACAAAATCTTATTTCATAGCATCCTAGAAAATCGATTAGTTTCACAGCCTGCACCAAGATAACTTGGGAAACTCTCTAGGCACATAGAGGGTTGCAAACTGATGTACAAACATGCAGAATCCCTTACTTGTGGGGGCACGATGCTAAGTGACCTGGCTTCTGGAACTAAGTCTATAGCAGAATTCAGGTACCCTAGCGTTACAAAACAGTCTTCCGAATAAAGAAAACTACTCTTTACTGCTCTTTGTACATTGGGTTTGGCATGCTATATGGCATTTGGTAGCGTGCATTTTTCCTGAGTGTGCTTTGGCCCCCTTTTAACCAGGTTTCCACACCCCTCCAAGGGCTTCTTCAAGTTTGTCTCTGTAAGCTGCGTAGCGCTTCCTCAGCAGCTGCAGCTGCTCGTGCTCCTCTTTGTCCAGTATGCGCAAGAAGTTCTGTAGCTCGGGCACACTAAAAGCTTCCCACTGGAAAGAAAAAGGAGGAAAAAGGAAAAAAAAAAAAAGGACAAATGCGGTCAACAAGAAATACAAGAGTAATTTATACACACAGTATAAACAAAATATTTGTTTAAACAAAAAGCTAGACACTCAAAACAGTGCAGAACTGAAATGGCATCAGACCCACCCCCCCCTTGCAAATCTCACAGCTGAGAAYGTGTGTTTTCTTTTAGGTTGGTTTTTGGTCTGTAAGACTGGGTCAATCTAACTTCAGATAAAGTGTTTGCAAAAGGTACAAAATAAACACTGTGAGAAGAAAAAMAATCTTCCCAAATTTTAATGTACTACACAGAACAGTAGCTTTGCAGGTAATTTTTAAACTGATGAACACTCCTTAATATCAAGAGCTGCAAACAAAAGCCTTGAAYCTTGTAAGTAGCTTCATTTGCACACAAGTCCTATACTGTCTGTAACAGCCAACTATGGGACAACAAACGTAAGTGTGTTTGGAAAACAAATTTCCTATAAAACCTGCAACCTGGTTACATTTCATGTACCTAAAAGTTTCTATTCTACCATGTTTTGACAACTAGTGAAACAGAAAGGATGCAATGTACCTTTCACAGTACATGTCACCTTTCTTAACCATTCCAAGTTCAAGCACTAATTGAGTACAATTACAAAAACAAAAAGCTACAAATATTGAGTAGCTTTTGTATCAATTTTTCCTTTTTATTTGTATTGTTTTAAGTTAATCCAAATATCATTAACATCTTTGTGATCCAAATTACATGTTTGATCCAATGGGCATTTAACAGGTAACTAAGGCAGAAGGATTTATAAGGGAAAAATTGAACATACAGTTTTGTGCATAGTTCTTCATTTATTTCAAAACAAATAACTAACCAAATAGGACACGTTGAGAATCTGAAAGCCAGCTACAGGCAAATCTATCGTTGCTTGTGGTTGCCGTGTTCCCGTTGCGCACGCYGTGCAAAAACGGACCCTCGCTCAGCACGGATCAAAGAGAAGCCCCTTCAGCCACGAGGGGAAACAACCTCCCTCTCCCAGAGCCAGCAAGCCAAGGGCATAACCTACCATGACTTCTCCAGTTTCATGCTCACGTAGAACAAAACTGAGCATCTCTGTTTGGGGGCCTGCCACCAAACGCAGGTAGAGCGGGTGTTCTCGGTCTGACAGCTTGCATGTATAAACTGCAGGGCAGGAAGGACAGTTATTGGCATCCGCAGAAWTCCCAGTGTTTGGAGTGGTTAATACTGGCTAAGGCTAGAAATTTGAAAAGCCCTGCAYCTGGAGCCACACAGTTTGCACATGCTTTGTGCACTGCTTTTGGATAAATGTTTTAAGACAAGTATTTGGGACAGTGTTTTGGGGGAAGCTGAGCACAGCCTTGATGGCAACAGCACATTCAAATACGAGTGAAATGACTTATAGTCYGTGCAGCACAATATCTAACATGGGAAGGAGAGGGGAGAAAATACAACACATCTGTTGCTATAAATAAGCGTTTGAAAGATCAAAGTCACAGCACCGCCACTCTGAAACCTTTTCAGTGGAGATCTCTCATTCAAAGGCCAGAGCTCCACCTGCCTTATGGGGCTGGCAGGACTAACAGGTAGGAACATTTACCAGCTGACTGCTGCCGGTGCCCGCTGAAGAAGCTAAATGCAAGAACACCCAGTTGGCCAGGTGCTATTTATTTTTTACTTAGTATTTTTTGCATCTTCTGGTATTTTCAGGCATGCCAGACCCAGCACTCGTCAGCTCAGGGCGAGCGGCTACACGGGGCAGCCCTAGGGAGCCCCACGCAYGGAGGGGGCACGAGCCTGCGGTGCTGAGCCCCTCGACCTGCCCTCGCACGGATTCCATGGTAAGCAATGCAACAGGACCTCTTCCGACCCTGCCCTGTGATTTAATCCCACAAAAGTGCAATGTGTTAGTCTATCCCAAGTCTTAGGGCTCAACACGGGGTATCTAAAGCAAAATGTAACAGACAACAAGGCACATGAGATCAGCATAGGGGATTTAATGGTCACTCCTGCCTTCAGCTCTCTGAAATACCCCCTATTTATTTGCACTTATCCTCACACTGCTTTTCACCAGAAACAGATGACACAGCCTGAATATGAGGGAAGCGAGCAAGACTGCCCCATCTTTAGCCCAGATTCCCACCCTGCTTATTTCGAGCACTCCTGCAACAGCTCCCAATCCCAACTGCTCCACCCGCCAAATGCCACAATTCGTCCCCTACCTTGGTCTTCCTTGTGACAGCGCTTATAAAGTGCAAACTTTGCAGGGTTGTCAGTCACCAAAAACTTTCTGAGCAAGGCCTCAATAACTTCCCGGACAGTATTGGTGCTGCTGATGTGAAGCGTGTTCACGTAGCCGTTTGGCAGGTAAAAAGCAGCCTCGTTATTGCTGTGAGCACATTTTCCTGGGTCCAGGGGGGACTGCACAGTGATCGGTCTGCATAGTTCCATCTGAACTTTGATGAAGCCAGTGTAAATCCCATTCGAGTTCTGCAGGAGGAAGACAAGTGTCAAACAGTTAAAATTAATAATGACCAATTACTATGTATCAATTGTCTTGAAAAAGAAAATTGCAGAACTGATTAAATATTATTGAGCTAGACATTAGGCATCATAATGCTGATCAGGCATTATTGAGCTAGACAATRGGCACCCTGAGTAGCCTCGACCGTATGAAAATACCAAACAAAGATCTGTTCAGTAGATAGTCATTCCCAGACGGTGTAGGACATAATGTATTGTCTAAATTTGCTTATACCTACAGCACCAGAAAGATCTCCTCGATTGCAGTTTGGTAGGCAGATGCATGAGAATTTTATGGCTCACTTGGGTCCCAGACTGGGCCCACAATCCTTGGAAAAATCTCTCTCCACACACACTGCACTGTGTGTCTTGCGCAGGAGGGCGCAGGAGAAGATCTCACCACGCTGAAAAGCTACCAGGCCCTTCTGCAAATTTAAGCTTTGTACAGGAAATGCTCTATGCTTAATATTTTCTCATCGCTTGAGCATCTCTAGGAGAGAAATACTCAACAAGCATTTATTTATCCAAAAAGGTAAAGATACCTTCACATTTATCAACTAAGTGACTTCCACCTGACAACTTTACATTTCAGCATCAATTGTGAATTTGAGTGCATTAAGCATTTCAAACCACAAATAGATTTGTTCCTACTGGTTTCTTTAATTCCATATGAAAAAAAACCTAAATGGATTACAAACATTTAAGATCCAAGATCTAACTCCCAGATCCAAAAAAGAGCCCACAAGGTCATTAACCTACAGGTATATGAAAGATGCTAAGAATAAAATGATTTGTGCACTACAAAGAACTACAAGTCAGTGTTCCCACTATAAATCACAGGAATTTCATGCAAATCTTACCAAGGTCATCTTTAATTTATCAGTGACAGATGAATTATAGCTTTGTATCTTCTCTTTAACTTCTTCTTTACTGAGACAAAGGTGAGGTTCTCTCTCCTTCTGATCATCCTTCAATGACAACAAAGACAACAGTCTTAGAAAACAAAATAAAAACCAATTTGTGGGGTTTTGAACATGGGTGCAAATGATCATTATTTCCCAGAGACTCGACACACAGTGATCATCTGTTCAGCAGTGGAAAGGATTAACAAGCCAGACAAGCCTAATGAAACACTGGAACCAAACGGAGGCAGTTGAATCAACATACCCCAAACRCTTGTGTCACTTTTTCGCCAACTGTTTTTGCTCAAGTATTTAGCAGCAGCGTGTAAAGCAACRCAGCTCATTCCATGGCAGGGTTTGCTCATGCCCCTGCTGCTCAACGTTGTTAAGAATACACTTACAAATTTCAGGAAGAATTACTTAAGGCACAAAAAGTGAAGTATTTCTAACGAGGCAAGGAACACGTACAGGGATAGGAGCACATGTTAACAAGTGACACCAGGAGCCTCCATTGCTACAGGCCAGCAACACGGGAGCTTCTCCGCACGGCAGCCCCACAGCAGGCTGCACACAGCAACACCGACTGCGACGGGCACCATCACAAGCCAAGTCTCTGGCCCCACCACGTTGCACCAAATTCACATTTTTTCACCYTACCGGATTTTTCAACAGCTGCTTTTAGGAGCTTGCTACGGATTTAACACACAGCAGCAAAAGCAGTCGCCGGAGCTGGACTTTATCCAAACAAACATTTGTTCCCGCTCCACGTTACTCCAGCAAACTCGCGTTATAAATACCCTCTGGTTTCTACCACAAGCATAAATGCCTTATATAGTAGGGAAGAGTTCTAGCTCTCAGCTTTAATGATTTAAGGCACCACTTAGAAAGGGAGACTCGGAGGGCCCGGGGCCTGCAGGGTACGTGTGAACAGGGGAATGCACATTCACTGTAGGGGCACACTGCCAAGCGACAGCACTTCAGCCTATCATTACAAGCACATCCTAGTGGAGCTCATCCCGAGAAGAGGTTTCCTTCCAGCAGCCCCTCCAAAACCACAGTGAGGGCCGTGCAACTCTCAGTGCACCTCAAGGGCCTCTCAGGCCACCAGGACCCCAAAGCCTGTGGGATCCATGTCCGAGGTGGAGCTGTCACCTTCTATTTGTTGGAAAGAATCTGCAAAAATTGCTTCAGTCTCCTAATTTCAACCCAGCTAATTTAGCTCTTTTYGGCTTAGATTTGCTTTTGCCATCCGGAAGTTTGCTAAATGATAGGCTAGAGCTCGCTGTCCCGGAGCTGTGGAAGGGCAGGCGCAGTCCAGGGGGGGAGTGGAGGCCACGAACCCCACTTCCCATCTGGGCTCAAATAGGAGCTTTCTGATTCTGTGTGTGTGTGTCTTTGTCCTGCGAGCAGCACACACAGCCCTGGGCGATGGACTAGGACACGGAGGCAAACGGGACACCTGCAGAACAGCCCCCGGGAGGAATCCCAGCTCTTGGCGCGACCCGGAGCATCTCACGCAGCAGCCACCCCAGCCTGCACTGCCAATGGSTGAGGGCAGAGCAGATCGCTAAGAATCCCAGGCTTCTTTCCCACTAGGGAAATTAAGCTTTCTCACTCTTCTCCCCACTCCCCAGGACTACCACAGTAAGCACAAATCCGGCTTCATCTGGACTTTTCACCTCGCCTCCGCAGGGGCTCCTATGGCTTTGTGGCACCYGATCCGGGGCCAGCTGAAAAAACAAAAAGGCCCAGAGAAACCAAGCCAAGCAGGCTTTTGCCCAAAATTAAATGCTGTTGTTGCTTTCACACCTAAAATCTCCCCAGTAAGAGCCCAGAAGCAGGAACACTCAAACGCTACCTCAGGTGATGGAGGGTGTCTGAGGAGGGGATGCCAGCGGCCACAGGAACGCATAGGATCACAGAGAGGAATCCCAGCTCCACCTGGGGAAGGCCGTGGTCCTTCCGGCTGCAGCCAAGCCCTGCCACACGCACACCAGCCAAACTCACCTTACGGGGGCTCCGGCAGGCCGGGCAGTGGGTGCTCTCCCATCTGCCCGCACTAACGATGCTGAGCTCCAACAGCGACACCTCACTGAGTACCAGAATGACGCCACTGACCGTCGCACCCGCCGCCTGTCACCGTGAGGACTGAGGTCACCCCAGGCACCAAGAGGACCCGCTGCCTCGGGCGGGAACGGAGCCGACCAGCTGCGAKGCAGCCGGCACCACGGCCTGCGGGGAGGCCGGAGCGGTGGGCGAAGCCCGAGCACGACACCCAGGGCAGCYTCCTTCCACGAGGCCACGGCCTCTGGGTTGCTGCAGGTTCCCCTGCAATGTGCATCATCCCCTCCATCAGCCAGCTGGGACTGCTGGCCCAAGCGCTGTTGGAATTCCTGGCRTCCTGCACCAACACAGAGGCCAGGAAATTCTGGCAAAGTCCAGTCCAGCACAGGGGAAACGCAGAGCCCTGTTTATGCAACAGCCTAGAGAACTGCAGGCTGCAGYGCGCTGGCAACAGATGCAGCTGTAGCTCAGTCTTTAACCACCAAAGCCTCGCATAGTATTTCAGCAGCGTGAAGAGCATGTGCAAACCAACTGAACGCAGCCGAAGAAGGGGGGCGGGGGGAGCTCCGGCTACAGGCTCCCCAGGGATGCGCTCCAGCCAAGCCGACGGAAGCACGGGCCAGCAGGACACCTGGGCGCACGGAGAATCCCACCACTCCCACACGGATCGGAGCGCCTGCATCCCACGTGGTGCTGCCAGGGGCAGAGCCAGGCAGGAAATACCTCCCTGGCGCTGTGAGGAACCGGGGCGCTCAGGGCCCGATGAGTCACTAGGCCGGTTGCTCTTGGTGAACATCACGGCCCCTGATAACTGGCCCAGCCTCGAGGCACCGGGGGCTTTAGCTTCCCGAATCACCCCTCGTTGCCGAACCCGCTGGCAGGCGGCACCCGGCCTTCCCCACGAGCCCTCTGCCATCACTGCTTCCCCTAGTCACAGCCAGGGTTCAAACGAAGTAACGACCCTTCTTCAACCAGTGTGCTTAAAAGACAAGCGAGGGGGATATCRGGCCCTATTTTTTCCCTTGTTTCCCAGGCGGCTCTTGGCTCCCATCCATCAGCCACCCCCAAAAGCACCCGCCGCGGGGGGTGCCCCGCACACCCCACTAGGCTTTGGCCGCCCCAATCCCGCTCAGACACCTCCCGGACACTGCTCCATGACATGGTGGGAGCACAAGGACGCGCACGTGTGGCCACCAGCTCCTTTCCACGGCAGCCCGAGGCAGCGGATCCATGTCCTGGCGCTCCGCACTTTGCAGCGCCCCTTCCTCAGAGGTCAGTGCTGCTGCTGAGCTCCACCAGCGCAGATCCCGATCCACACGGAGGCAGGGGAGGCAGGTATCCATGCGCCTCTCCTCCCAGGCACAGCCCAGCTGCTGCTACGCCTCGCAAGGGCGCTTCTGGTGCTGCAGAAAGGAAGCTTCTGTATAAACCAGCACACCAACATTTTGAGTTGCTTGGTTCCAAACACGGATCCCGAGACAAGGGCTGCYTCCCCACCTCAAGCGCTAACGGTGGTGCTGGGGAAACGCTCAGCACGACTGCCACCACGTTACCCTTCCTGCCCCCCAACCCAGCGAAGAACGCGCGTTTTCCTCAGCAGAATTCCTGCTCTCCTCCCATTCCCCGTTTCTCATGTTATCCGGCATTTCCTCAGCCCAGCACGGATGCGGAAGACAATAATGATCCCCAAAAGGCCACCGAGCACCTTGGCACCTGCGTGGGTGCCACGGTCAGCTCCGGAAGAGCAGCTCCAGGCAAAGCTATGGCCTGCCTGCAAAAATCACGCAGCACTTCCCAACATACAGAGCACACGCCACCGGTGGCCGTTTGTACTAAAACCACTCCTGAGGTCACCCGGAGCAGCGCTGGATTCGCACATGAAATTCCTAAGCAGCAGGTTTTTTTTTTTTTTTTTAGTATATTTGTGCACAGTCTAAGGCCCTGAGAAATAAATTCACTACAAACCCTGAGGGAGCACAACTAAAACCACACAGATGATAATTTAAACTAACTGCAAGTCAAGCTGCGGTGCCACAGATGAGGAATCGGGGGCCTCACGTGGCACCTTTGTGCAGCCGTTGCCGGAGCCCATTCCCAAGGAGCACGCGGCTGCCAAGGGCGGCACAAGCACCAGGGGAGGAGAGGCCCCGTTGGCTCGGGAGGAGCCCCGGCCGCGGCCTCAGGCTTTGGGCCGGCAGGGACACACGAAGGCCTCGCTCCTCTACCTCTGCTCCTGCTCCTATAGAGCTTCGACACATCTAGGAAAGGTGAWCCTAAAAGAAATGCATGGAAGTGGCTTTCTAAGAAATCTAAGGAACCAAAGAGCTGGGGAGCTTCCAGCCAACTTCTAAGCACTGTCCGTTCCTGCCCCCTGCCCTGGCACTCCATACTCATCCCAGACAGTGACCCTGCTTCAGTCACCTCAACGAAGAGGGACTGATCCTGCTCCAAGCAGGACCGGGAAGCGCTTTTCACGGGAAGTGCTGAGACTGCCAAACGAGAAATTCCGCCTCATCTCTCTCTATATATAGACACAGAGAGCGAGGCAGCTAATGTGTCTTACTTACATCCTCTCTTCAATGCAAACACGGCATAACTAAGAGTGCTCTCATGGCCATAGAAAAAGCCAACATTTGGGGAGCAGAGAGGACACGAGGGCCCTCGGGTCCTCAAGGAAGGCGGCTTTGGCTCCCCTGCATCCCGCCAGTGCTCCCACAGGACAGACGGGAATTGAATCACTTGGAATCAAACACAGTGGTTCACCTCCGTGCCAGCTCCCCCAAGTGCAGGGGCAACTGCTGCCTCCATCCCAGGACAGGTCCGTGCCCACATGAGGACACTGGGAACGTTCCTCAGCAAACAGCCACCTGGATATTGCAGGGACAAGGCTGCTGCTTCTAAAGCAGCAGGACGTGCTGACTCTGCCTTGCACACGCAGCTCATCCAGCACCACCTCTGTGATTTTTCACACCGTGCATCGTCCCCACCACGACCCGCTCCTC